AAGAAGAAGAAGAAGAAGAAGAAGAAGAAGAAGAAGAAGAAGAAGAAATAATAATGATGGTGAAGCAGCAAGTGAGAAGAAGATGGAAAAAGAAGGGGAGTATGTGAAGATGGAGAAGAAGAGAAAGAGGAACAAAGCGATGGTGAAGACAAAAGGAAGAAAGGGATGAAGGCTGGGAGGAGTGTGGTGATGAAGAAGATGACAAGATGATGGTGGAGGACCATGTGAGAAGAAGAGGAGGATGGAGAAAGAAGGAGGAAGACAGAAAATGGAGAAGAAGAGGCAAATGTGAAGACGAAGAGAGGAAAAAGGGAGGAATGTAGAGGATGAAGGCAGGATGATGGTGAGGGAGCAAGTAAGGAGGATGGAGAAAGGAGGAGGAAAACTGAAGATGGAGAAGAGGAGCAGAAAGGTGAAGAAGAGGAACAAAGGGATGGGGAAGGGGAAGAGGAAGAAAAAGATGGGAGGAATGTGGAGATGAATAAGAAGAGGATAGTGAAGGATCAAGTGAGAAGAAGAGGGGGATGGAGAAAGGAACAAGGGGACCGTGGAGATGGAGAAGAGGAGGAGGAAGGTGAACTAGAGGAACAAAGTCTTGATGGGGAAGAAGAAAGTGAGAAGAAGTGCAAACTGCAGAAGAGGAGGAAGAAAGGGATGAAGAAAAAGAGGAAGGACCTGAGGACAATGAAAAGGAAAAATGTAGGGAATGATGAAGATGATAAAGACAAAAGTGAAATTATGGATTCAATTATTCTTCCATTCAGTATTTTAAAAGAGATTTTTGTTTTGCAATCTTCTGGAACTGGTGCCTGTTTCCTGTTGGCCTTCTGGCTGTAACAGGTTTGATCTGATTTGATTTGGTGCCCTCATCTGGTTACCTCCCCAATTAATTTAAACATTTTTTAAAAACTGCATTTGATTCAGCCTGGAAAATTAAACCCCCCAAAAGCATATTCTCCTTTGCATTGTGGACTGACTCCATTTCTCCCTCTGTTTTTAAAAATAATAAATCACCTTAGAGTATGGTGTTTTTATTGTTCTCAATGGCTTTGGATACAATATGTAGAAACAAAGGATGTAAACGGAGATATAAACAAATCAGCAAATTCCTAAGGTTCCCCTCTCTGGTTGATAAAAAGATTCGTTTGTTTTGATTTTGATGTGTATTTTCTTACCGGCTGCTTTTAGAAGCTTAAAAATACAACGTTGTGTATTGATAGGCAAGTTGTAGGCGAGGATGACATCAGCGTTTTCATAGCAGCCGGTATAAGATTTTGAAGCCATTAATAATCCATGTAACCTATTTTGCAGACGAGCTTAAATTAGCCAGTGAAGCAAAAATAAGGGATGGGTTTTTGATTATGCAAGGCGCATGTTGCTTTTCCAGGGACAAACAATTCACTTTCTTAGCTATCTTTGCATTCTTATGGAGTGGAACCACAGGGTATAAATGAAATAAATAAATTAGAAATTAAAAAGTAAACAGGCATAGATGGGGAGCAGCAGTAGCGTTGGCAAATGCTATGATAGGACGTAGTTTGGGGAAGGGTCCTGCAAACCAGCTTCGCATCCCCGTATGGAGACAAACCCTGGTTTATTGATTAGCTTGTCTGATAACTGAACACTGGTAGGAAGTGTAAGGAAGTCCTCGACTTAACGGCACAATTGGGAACAGAATCTCTAGTGCTAAGCAAGGTTATGAGTTATGCCTGACTGTATATGACCCTTTTTGCTTCCCTTGTTAAGCAAATCACTGCAGTCATTAAGTGAATCATGCTGTTGTTAAATGAACCTAGCTTCCCCCACTGACTTCGCATGTTGGAAGCCAGCTGCAAAGGTCGCAAATGGTGTGATTACAGGACTCCCGGAGGCTGTGACCATCGTAAATACGTGTGGATCGCCAAGCGCCCTAATTTTGATCATGTGATTGTGGGGAATGCTACGATGGTCATAAGCGTGAGGACTTAGCTTAAAGAAAAGTTTAGAGCTTTAAGAAGGATGTCTACCAGAAAAAGAAAAATTATTCTATGAGGCTAACAGGTGTGTGTGTGTGTGATTTCAATTTAATCAGTTAGTTGGATTTTTATTGGTCTGAAAGTGAATTTTAAAGTATGTTAAGAGGAAGTTTTAAAAAGATGCATTAGAATGGTTTGATTTTAGAAATGTTTTTTTTAAAAGTTTAGTTTTTAAAATGGTATTTTTCCCTTTAAGGTTAAAGAATCTGAAAGAATACAGTGAATTTTATTAATACAAATGGTGATAGTTTATAAAGATTAAGTTATCTTTATATTAAATTATATATGTGTGTGCGTGCATGTGTGTATATATGGTATATATGTGTATGATTTCTATAGTAAGGAAGGTAAAGCAGAAATGGTTACATTGATTGTTTTAATCAGAGGAGGATATATTTAATTATGTTTTTTATTTGGATATCTGGATTTTGTGCTTGTGATTAAAAAAAAAAATGAAACTGACTTTGGTTTTGCCGATTAGATAGATTTGTTCTAGAAATGGCTAGTTATAATATGTAAAAGTAAAAAGCTGAGGCCGGAATGTTACCTTGTGCTGTGCTGAAAAGAGTCAAAAGTCAACACTTTTTTCCCTTGCACCTCATATTCCCCCCCCATTTCATTTTTTTTTTATTTTTTTCGTGTATTTTATTTTAGATATTGATAAAACAATAAAAGTTCTGGAAAAAAAAAGGGTTGTAAAGTCACTTTTTTTCAATGCCGTTGTCCCTGAACAAATGGTTGTGAGTCAAGGATTACATATATTGTCTGAGTCAGCCAAATTAAAGGTGCCTTTAAATTCTCAGATCTTACAGGCTGCTTTGATAATGTTGCAACGGCTGTGTAAATGGTTGCATTTACTTTCTTAAGTAATGCTCATATGTGCCACTGGATGGCAGAAAACTCTAAGAAATCCAGGACATCTCTCTTTTACAGAAAGAGTTAAGTTTTCCTGTAATCTAAGAATAACAGAATTGGACTTCCAGGGATGGGGCATCCACAACTTCACGAGGGAAGCCGTTCCACCGATTAATCGATCTGTCGAGAAAGTTCTCCTTATTTCTAGATTGGATCTCTTCCCGATTAGTTTCCATCCATTCCTTATTGTCCTGCTTTGGAGAATAGGTTGACCCTCCACTGTGGCAGCCCCTCAAGTACCGGAAAGCTACAATCGTGTCTAAATCCTTCTCTTCGTTATATTAGACATAATCAGATCCCGCAACTGTTCTTGATATGTTTTTATCTTTTAAGAGTTTGCAAAGGGAAACTCAGTGCGCTTGCTGTAAACACCATCATTCATCTGTTGTATCTTTCCACCTTGTTCCTATAGATGGAGTGAGGGAGGGAAGTGTGTCATTCAGGATTTGTTAAAGGTGAAACTTTGGAAATTCATACAAACGTACATCACGCCTCTAAAGAGCAAGTTTGTTTGGATGAATATATTTTTAGAGCTACGAAGACACGTGTAACGTATGTAAACATGGGGAAGGGATGCAGTCATGGTCCCATTTTGATTTTTTGGACAGACTTCAGAGAGTAATTAGGACTGCAGAAAAAGCAATGGCTACCAACCTGCCTTCCATTGAGAACCTGCATACTGCACGAGTCAAAAAAAAGGGCTGTGAAAATATCTACAGATCCCTCACACCCCAGACATAAACTTTCAACTCCTACCCTCAAAACGACACCATGGAGCCCTGCACACCAGAACAACTAGACACAAGGACAGTTTTCTCCCGAACACCATCACTCTGCTAAGTAAATAATTCCCTCAACGCTGTCCAACTATTTACAAAGTCTGCACTACTATTACTATTCATCTTCTCATCCTTCCTATCACCCGTCTCCTCCCACTTATGACAATGACTGTAACCTTGTTGCTTGCATCCTTATAATTTTTATTGACTTTTTATTAGTATGATTTGATTGCTTATTGTACCCTATGACTATTATTAAGTGTTGTACCTTATGATTTCTTGGCTCTTGACCAATGTATCTTTTATGTACACTGAGAGCATTTGCACCAAGACGAATTCCTTGTGTGTTCAATCACACTTGGCCAATAAAGAATTTTATTCTATTCTTTGTGGACACCCCTAAATGGCAGTGGTGGGATCCCCTCCACAGTTAAACCCCACAAAAATCACCCTATAAAATAATCTCAAGTTTTAGATTTAGCCCGGTTCAACCACTATATTATCACAAGTCACTATAAATTGAAAAATCAATAATGAAAAAATCAATCTACGTCTCTGGTACCATTTTTTTTTTAAATGGGCTCTTTTGTATTTAAAAATATCATTTTAAATGTTGATATAATTCCAAAGGAAATAGAATACAGCAACTCTTACAGGGCTAATTCCTAAGGTTTCTAGCAATTTATTAAGTAGTATTTACATGGTGTGTGTTCATGTCTGTGTATCCAGAGTGCTTTTCTCTTTTTTTTTTGAAGAGAAAAGCTTTTTATGACTAAAAAACATTGACCAAAATATCCTTTTTTGCTTCTTGTTTTTGTACGTTGAATGACTTGCCCAGTTCCCAGCTCTCCCTCTCAATGTTTTCTGATGCTGGGGAAGAAATTGCCAAGGTCAACAGATAGAAGAAATGGGAAAACCTCTGGTTGCATTTGCTAATTAAAGTCCCAAGGGACAGACGGGTGAATCTGAAAAGAGAATGTTCCTTTCGCCAACTGGTTTTTTAAGAAATTAAACTTTTAGATAAGTATCTTTCGAACACAGAACAATAGAGTTGGAAGGGTCCTTGGAGGTCTTCTAGTCCAACCCCACCACAAGCTCAAGCAGGAGCCGTACAAAATAAAGAAATCCATTCTTTCCTCTTTTTAAAAGTTAGGGAGCGGGAAAGAAATTCTAAAACAATCTGAGATAAGAGGCCACAACAGGTGTCTCCCTCGGAGGGGTGAAAAACGTTTGGGGAATTTCAGCATCAGATGAACCCAGCTGGAGTCTCGCCCCCCAATCTTTGATCTTAGATGGGTGTGTGTGTGTGTTTTGTGTGTGAGTGGTGTGTGTGTATTTCTCCCGTTCCCCCTGATACTTGTCACCTGCTAATTCAACTTGACTCATTGGGGAGACATTACGTCAAGCCCTCTGCTAAATCCTGTCACTTTCAGAGCCAGAAATCGTGATAAATAACAACAATAATTTTCTTTCCATGACTTTCACAGGCAAACTTTTTCTTTTTTTTCTTTCTTTTCCTTCCCTTCCCTTCCCTTTTCCTCCTTTCCTTTCTTTTCCTTCCCTTCCCTTTTCCTCCTTTCCTTTCCTTTCCTTTCCTTTCCTTTTCCTCATTTCCTTTCCTTTCCTTTCCTTTTCCTCATTTCCTTTCCCCTTCCCTTCCCTTTTCCTCCTTCCCTTCCTTTCCCTTCTCCTCCTTTCTTTTCCTTCCCTTCCCTTCCCTTTTCCTCCTTTCCTTTTCTTTCCTTTCCTTTCCTTTCCTTTCCTTTCCTTTTCCTCATTTCCTTTCCTTCCCTTCCCTTTTCCTCCTTTCCTTTCTTTTCCTTCCCTTCCCTTCCCTTCCCTTTTCCTCCTTTCCTTTCCTTTCCTTTCCTTTCCTTTCCTTTTCCTCATTTCCTTTCCTTCCCTTCCCTTTTCCTCCTTTCCTTTCCTTTCCTTCCCTTTTCCTCCTTTCCTTTTCCTTTTCCCTTTCTTTTCTTTTCAGCTGGGAGAAACGGGCATTTCCACATGGCTGATCTGAAAAGATTTTTAGCCTGCTTGAAGGTTGATAGAGCAACGTGGCTTCAGTTTTTAAACAAATCTCCTCGTGGTTGCACGGGAGTCTGTAGTGATACAGGGAGTCCACAAGGTATGACAGACAGTTCATTTAGTGACCAAAGTTACAAAGGCATTGAAAAAAAGTGACTTACGACCATTTTTTCACACTTACGGCCATTGGAGCATCCTCATGGTCAGGTAATCAAAATTCAGACACTTGGAGAGTATTATGAGGTCTGGAGTAAAATGTATCAACAGCTAGAGTCAAGGAAAAAGAAAGAAAGGGTTGATGCTTTTATAGGAATGAAAGTTAAAGTTTTGTAAACCAAAGAGAATGGAATATAAATATGAGATGATACGAATGCATGAGTATAAAAGACGGTTGTGAATATGTATATAACTGTAGAAAAACGTAAATAGAAATAATATGCAGCTAGCACTGTACTAATAAAATAAGGGAAAAAGGAAATTATTATGTGTATCGCTATATACTAAAGCTTGTATTTGAATGATGGCCAAGAAAATTGCAGTGTTCAATTGTTTTTAATGTTTATTCAATAAAAAGTTTTTTTTTAAAAGAAAATTGGACGCGTGGCAACTGGCATGTACTTATGACAATTGCAATGTCCTGGGGTCACATTTTGCACATTTTCTGACCAGCAAAATCACCGGGGAAGCCAGGTTCACTTAACAACCATGTTGTTAACAAGTGCAGTGATTCACTTAACGAGCCTGGCAAGGAAGGTCATCACAATGGAGCAAAACCCACTCCACACCTGTCTTCCTTGTCTATATTCCGCTGATCCATTACAATATCCTAGATTCTCAGTAAGAAATCAATCATGCAAATGAAAGCCAACCCTATCGAAAGAATTGGCAGCTGCAATTTCATGTCCTTTATATAATAACGATCATAATTCTTAAAACGGAATGGGTGTGCCTGCCGTGAAAAATTTGCATGCAGTCTGTTTTCACTCAAGTGTCCCCGGCAAAGGAGGCAATAATTTTCCTGCCACTTTGATAACGATTTTCTTTTTTTTGCCATTCCAGCCAGATTCCTGCAAAAAAAAAAAAAGGAAAAAAAATGGAAGTGGGAGGCCTTGGATCCTTGCAGACCGTGTGTGTGTGTGTGTGTGTGTGTGTGTGTGTGTGTGTGTGTGAAGTCGCTGGCCTTGTGTGTGCCGCACTGCATTTTCGTGTCAGGTTTGGCACGAGTCCTGAATTTATGGATGTAAAATTTCCTGGCTCGGCTCTTCAGTTCCTCTGCTGCTCGGAGTTCTGGATTGGTGCCCAGACTCTATAAGTCTAGTATGTAAAAGCTGTCGGATGCCTAGAATGATATTTGAACTCTTGGAGACAAAAGGTAGAAAAAGAGAAGGGGGGACAAAAAGAGAGAGAACCAGATTCCAGGTCAAACGGTGACCCAGTCCTCCAAAATACACAAGAGGAAGTGGAAGGCCTCAAGGGGGCCTTCCAAAGTTTGGATGAAATCTCAAAACTCTTCCAAACGATACAGAAAAAAGGCAGTGAGGTACGAGTAGCTACACAGTGAATATCTACGCTTATGGGCCAACCCCATTAAGGAGTTCTTAGCTGAGTTTTCATGCAGGGCCAACGACATTAAATCAACTTTTGCTTCAGTCTTGACCTCACCTATAATTTAGGGGTGACTTCCTTGCTGCTTGTCAATGTGGTCCTCTCAGAAAATTGTGTTGCTCCTGAGACACTTTGCTCGTAGACAAGCTTGGTTGATATCCTAAAAGGATCAACTTCTCTAGGAATCTTCTTTATAAAAAACAAAAACAAAGCAAAAGCGAAGCAAAAACCCCTTGACCTTTAAAGCACATCGAATTATGAATTATACTTCAGGGGTGCGGAAGTGACAAAGCTAAACAAAAGTCCAAAGCATCTCTGTCATCAATCAACCCCCAGATAAATTGAGATTAACCGCAAGATTAACACTAGAGCGATAATCAAGCAGTAAACAATACCCCCGTACCCCAATCGAGGAACTACCAATTCAATCACAGTAAGCAACAGCCTGATCAATGCTGACGGGGCAAGCCATTGTATATAAACAGAGACCAAACCCAACTCCCTTCTAGCATGGATGATGTTACTCAGTTGGGTAATGAAATGTCTGCAAGAAAACCACCAAGCTCAGAGAGCGCCAAGGACCCTACAGTTCTCCTCCTCCTCCTCCTCCTCCTCCTCCTCCTCCTCCTCTTCTCCACAAATCCACTCCCTTCTAGCACTGATGATTGTTGGGCAATGAAATTTCTGCAAGAAAACTCAAGAGAGCACCAAGGAATCTACAGTTCTCCTCCTCCTCCTCCTCCACATCTTCAAGAAAACCACCAAGCTCAGAGACCACCAAGGACCCTACAGTTCTCATCCTCCCCCTTTCTCCTCTTCCTCCTCCTCTCCACAAACTCTACTCCCTTCTAGCACTGATGATGTTACCTAGTTGGGCAATGGAATGTCTGCAAGAAAACTCAAGAGAGCACCAAGGAATCTACAGTTTTCCTCCTCCTTCTCCTCCACATCTATAAGAAAACCACCAAGCTCAGAGAGCACCACAGACCCTGTTTCCTTTTAGGATTAGAACCCAGGTTCCAGCAAACATCCTCTTCACGGAAACAAGGAGTACAGTTGATGCGTGTCTGTTAAAGAGAAGAGCGGCCTCTCGTTTTGATATTTAAACGGCATCAAATCCAGGTTCCCAGACTGAAGCATGTGCGAGTGGTTACCTGGTTGGGAGTTGGGGCATCTCAAGAGCCTCCCTAGAGGTCATAGAAAGTTGATTTGGGAGCCAGCTAAGCTGATCTGAAAACACTTTCCGTGCCAAGGGAAGAGGGTTGAGCTGGGCCCTCCCTTTTTTCTGCTGCTGCCCCCAGTCCCACTCTCTGTTGCTGCTTTCAACCCATGGCGGGTCAAGAGTTTAGCATCTCGGTGGCCGACTGCCAAATCGCCAGGCCTGCACTCTACATCTGCAATGCATTTGGGACCAACGATGAAAGTGATAATAAAGCAAACTCTGGCTGTGCCAAAGGATTGAAACTTCTTCCATCGTGGCGTGACAAGCCTGGTCATAATTTGCTACTCTGGACCTGAGAAAGTTGTCTTTCCAGTCTTGCAAAAATAATAATAATAACAACAACAACAACAATAAAAAGTTCTAAACCAAATCCACAGCCAGACGGGGAGAATAATGCGGTATTGGCTAAGCCTTGGCTGGTAATGAGAAGGAGCCAGTTGTGTGAGTCCTTTGGAATTAACAAGGGTGAGGTTTGCAAAGTGAACGCGCCCTGAATGTTGTTCTTTTCTTCTGCATCCTAGGAGGTATGTGGACATCTTTTGTGTAAAGTGACGGGCGAAAAAGTGCAACCTCCGTTTGAAATAAGTCTGGGAGGGTTGCATCCAGATATGCAAAGGTTCTTTATCACCTTTCCTGGGAAAATTTGCTTTCCGCTACCTTATGTAGATAGAGGTGCGATGGCTCAGTGGTTAAAGATGCTTGTCAGCGGGAAAGCTGGCAGCCTGGGTTAGAGACCTGAGCACAATGGGGCGAGTTCCCATACCTTGCTCCAGCTCCTTCCCACCTAGCAATTTGAAAGCACGTAAAATGCAAGTAGATAAATAGGTACCACTTTGGTGGGAAGGTAACAGTGTTCCGTGTGCCTCGGTGTATAACCATGCTGTCCAAATGACTGTGGAAGCATCTTCGGACAATGCTGACCCCCTCAGTTAAGAAAGGGAGATGAACACTGCCCCCTAGAATCAGATATGACTGGACAGTTGTGTCCGACTATTTTTTTGCAGAAAGATCCCTTTCTCTTCTAAAAGCAGCCCCTGTTCTCTTGACTGGAAGTGGCCAGGTTAGGATTCCGACAAGAGGATGTAATGGCATGTGAGGAAGACCTTGGGAGTCTGGGTGAAGAGCCAAGGGAGTGGTCAGATAAAAGATGGCATAGCCCACAGCTGCATAATGGGTAGCAAAAGAGGCTCCGGTCCCTAGTTCCTTGACTGTAAAGGATATGGCTGTAATGGTATATGGGAAAGACTTTGGGAGACTGGGCAAAGAGATGCTGCCAAGGGAGTGGTCAGATAAGGGACTGCTTAGTCCTCAGCTGGACAACGGGTGGAGAAGGAAGTTTAGAAAAGACCATTCCTAGTTACTCGGGCTGTAAAGGAGAGGGCTGTCATGGTATGTGAGGAAGACCTTGGAAGATGGGAAGAAGAGATGCTGCCTGCGGAAGGGTTAAATAAGAGATGGCATAGCCCACAGCTGCATAATGGGTGGAGAAAGTGGCTTAGAAAGGACCCCCCCCCTTATCTGACCACTCCCTTGGCAGCATCTCTTCGCCCAGTCTTTCAAAGTCTTTCCCATCCACCGTTACATCCATATCTTTTATAACCAAGTAACTAGGGAGGGTCTCTTCTGAACTTCTTTCTCCATCCATTATGCAGCTGTGGGCTAAGCAGTCCCTTATCTGACCCTTATCAGTCCCTTGGCAGCATCTCTTTGCCCAGACCTCTCCCAAGGTCTTTCCCACATACCATTACAGCCATATCCTTTACACTCAAGGAACTAGGGACTCGCTACCCATTATGCAGCTGTGGGCTATGCCATCTCTTATCTGACCGTTCCATTGGCTCTTCACCCAGTCTCCCAAGGTCTTTCTCTCATGCTATCACATCGTCTTTAGAGGTGGTATTCAGCCGGTTCTGACCAGTTCTAGAGAACCGGTAGAAGAAATTCTGGGTAGTTCGGAGAACCGGCCAATACGGCCTCTGACTGGCCCCGCCAACCCCATCTCTTCTCTGCCTCCCATTGAGTCCCAGCTGATCAGCTGGGTCTTCTTGGGTTGCCCTGCCCAGGAGAACGGAGCTGGGAAGCAGGTTAGTGGGGTGGGGAGGGAAGGGGATTTTGCAGTATATCCTTCCCCTACCACGCCCACCAAGCCACGCCCACATAACCAGTAGTAAAACAAAAAGGTGAATGCCACCATTGATTGTCTTGTCTAAATCCTACCCTGGCCACTCCTAGTCAAGAGGAGGTGGTCTGGTGGTGGGGCTGATTTAAGAAGAGAAAACAGGGATCTTTCTGGAAAAGATTAAGTGGTGAAATGTATTTTCAGGCTTGCAAGATTCGGTCAACGTAGAGCTTTGCGAATTAACTCATCCACCGGAGCTTCTTATCTGCTTTTCTACCCAAAGCCGAGAGATGGACGAATTCAAGGCACATCGTTGAAGGTTCTTCTCAATCCTACTCTGAGATCCCGGAAGGCGGCAGGCTCGGCCTGTTGCTTCTCTGCGCGAAGAGACTGACAGATGCGAGACTCTTTTTCTTTTTTCTTTTTTCTTTCCCCCAAGCTCTTCTGGCGCAAAGCGGAGTGTGAAATATTTGAGATTTAGCTTGTTTGCTTCCAGGCCATTTGTGAATGGGGAGGGAGGGGGGAGGCGCAGAGCCAGATGTTGCGATCAGCGTCACACCTGGAGCTGATTACAGAAAAGGGAAATCAATGGAATGAGCGAAAGAGCGAGGGCCAGTTGCGTTTGGGATGTTGGGTGAAAAGCGAAAAAAACCAAAGCCAAACCCTTCCCAATAACTAGATCTTAAATCTTGCAGGGTAAAGATGTTAATTACAATTCATGATTTCAACTTCCCCAGCTTGTCCTTTGCAAATCTCTCTCTCTCTCTCTCTCTCTCTCTCTCTCTCTTTCTCTCTCTCTCTC